ACAACACGGCCAGGTTCCTATCCAATCAGATAAGAGGCGATTCCTCGGATGAGGAGAGACTCTAACCATCTAACCGTTATCAGTGCATAATAAAACCGTTTACAGAGAAGGCTCCAGTGCGCCCGGCACGCTTTCGTCCAAGTAAAACCGCGAGTTGGAGGACGCCTGAAATCAAAGTGGAGTGGCCATCTCGTGCAGCTGTGTCTATGGCGCAGTTGTCAGTTTCGAAGATAAATACCTTTTTTATGGTCAACTAGAGAACTCAAGTTTCTCGACAGCCGGTACGGAGGAGCACTTGCCATCGTGACAGTAAGCGTTGCAACCTGAAGACGGACCTACCAGAGCGACCAACACTTACAGAATTGTGAGCGGTGTACCAAAATTAATGTCGACGATGGAAATGCCCATACTTTTGAAAAGTCTGCAGATTAAATCCACATTTTCCGCAATCACCTTTGCTTCTCCAAGATGTCCACGTATGTGCATTTGCCATTCTTGGGTTCACATCTCAAGTGGTACATCACCTGGGGTTGGATATGGCTGCCCGATGAAGATTGATAAGCCAAAAATTACAATTTCAGTGTCCATTGTCCCTGTCGGCAATGTTCACCTGCTTATAGTACTAGCCACTGCGTGGCTGCTGGTGGTGATCTGCTCCAAGACAGAAAGGGACGAGTGAGTTCCGTAACCAAATGGTGAGCGTTCCTACGCCAAAGACAAAGACAAGGAAGACTGGCATGGACGTTTCAGGCTTATTAGCCATAATCAGCCTGCTATACACAACCCCAGGGGTTGCGACCCCCGAGATTTGAGCCCGCGACCTTGTAAGTTAGACATCCCAGGTTCTAACCACCGCGATACGGATTCACTGCCTTGCCAGCCTCGATCGGGAATATGCACAATGGTAGACAGAAACCCACAGATCGGTTGCGGAACTCACTCATCCCGTTGTGTCTTGGCGTTTTCTCTCGAGCCCAGCCAGCAGTCGCTCAATGGCTAGCATATTCTAAGCAGAAATGCATTACCAGCAAAGAGAGAAGGGAGGCTTATTTGCCGTGATCAGGCAGCTCGACATCGAACTACAAAACAAAAAGGGGACGAGTGAGTGTGTGTGAGTGAGTGAGTGCCGTAACCGATCGGTGAGCGCACGAAGCAGGTTGTGCTGTAGGTGCATTGAACCCATATATAAATGCCAGGTTCGTTCGTGCACACGCTTCTTAGGCTACCCAGAGTCCGGTATGCTGCCTTAAATACTACCAAACACGCGTGGCTTGCCTTAGATACCGACCCTCATGTCACATTAAGTAAACAGTTGGGCGCCAGGCTAGGACAGCTGCCTGATACATGGGAGAGGCAAGAGAAAGAGAGACGGAGACTGGGAAATATGTCTTCATGGAAAATCAAGGCAGTCTTCACTACAATTAATCCGGCATGCTGCCTCGGAAGAAACTCAACTAATGGGGATAATTCGGTCCTGCTCCATACTGAGGGTCAGGCTGTAACGGTCCCCGCATATTCTGCTCCTCATGGCGCTCTCGCTTTGGTAAGATCCGAGACAACCCTGGATAGAACCCAGTATATGTGAAGTTGTTACAGGGTCCTGTGTGGCGTAAGCAGACGGGCGTGTCTTGCTATCAGACAATGATAGATGCCGTGGGGAGAGAGTGAGGACGAGTGGGGTAGAAGCAGCGTAGACATAGTTTACTACGCACGTCATAGGCGCGCCCACAGAGCTGAGCCTCGCTGTTCACGGTGATCGAACTACCCAGCGTGTGTGGCAAAAACTCGAAAACAAAACGAAAAACACAAACATGCACATTCAACAACTTACCCATTTTCGTGCAAATGGGGAGCATTAACTCGGAGAGGGTTTTGCTGTCGTCAACACGCAGGGTCTTTCGAGTGCCGTCCATGGTTCGGATGTAAAGCCACCGGTACCGATATTTGTACTCCACGGTGTCCTGTAGAAGGCACACAATAAGACACATTCATGGTTGAATTTTGGAGGAAATGTATGTTGCCTTCAGCGTTAACAA